AACACATTACCAGAATGTCACAGTAACATAGGTAACAAACACATCACATTACCAGAGTGTCACTGTAACGGAGGTATCAAACACAACACATTACCAGAGTGTCACACAGGTAACAAACACAACACATTACCAGAGTGTCACAGTAACGCAGGTATCAAACAAAAAACATTACAAGACCGACACAGTAATTCAGTTGTAAATCACAACACATTTCCAGAGTGTCACAGTAACGCAGGTATCGAACACAACACATTACGACACAGTCACATTAACGCAGGTATCAATCACATCACTTCACCAGAGTGTCACAGTGACGCAGGTATAAAAAAACACATTTCCAGAGTGTCACAGTAACGCAGGCATCAACCACAACACATTACCAGAGTGTCACAGTAACGCAGGCATCAACCACAACACATTACCAGAGTGTCACAGTAACACAGGTATCAAACAAAACACATTACTAGACTGACATAGTAATTCAATTGTAAAACACAACACATTTCCAGATTGTCACAGTAACGTAGGTATCAAACACAACACATTACCAGAGTTTCATAGTAACACATTTATCAACAACAACACATTACCAGAGTGTCACAGTAACACAGGTAACAAACACATCATGTTACCAGAGTGTCACAGTAACATAGGTAACAAACACATCACATTACCAGAGTGTCACTGTAACGGAGGTATCAAACACAACACATTACCAGAGTGTCATAGTAACACATGTATCAACCACAACACATTACCAGAGTGTCACAGTAACGCAGGCATCAACCACAACACATTACCAGAGTGTCACAGTAACACAGGTATCAAACAAAACACATTACTAGACTGACATAGTAATTCAATTGCAAAACACAACACATTACCAGATTGTCACAGTAACGTAGGTATCAAACACATCACATTACCAGAGTGTCACTGTAAAGTAACATTCGGTTCGGGTTCAGTGTTGGTTCGTTTGAAGTCGGTTCGCTTACGCGCAACCAACCGCCAGAGCGCGGGTTGAGTAAACTTGTTTCATTTTATCGACATCCACCGAAGTCGGCACATGTTTTGCCTATCGAAATAGGATTTTGAAGGGGTTACAACCCAAAGAGTGAGTGAACATTCCTTCTATATTTTGTTTCTAGTTCAATTACGTGTTTTAGTGGTGTAACGCGTACATATCATGTCAGTTTACCTTGTAACAAGTGTCATGAGCTGTCGATCAAGTCAATCACAAACTCTGCCGAGATTTCAGTCAACGGTTAAACAATATGCATACAAATGTCCAGTTTCAAGGTTTTAATTAAGATTCATTGTTTGATTGTAGGTTTTCACCCTCTCCGGGGGTTTGTATACTCGTTATTAAAGACTGTGAAACAGTACAGTGAAAACTCTAGGTAATCCAGCCCCACAGATCGGTTCTACAATGAGCCATACAGCCCAGAGCGTGGAGGGTATGGAAATCAATCGACTAACACGAGTCAGACAACTATCTGAGAAGGGTAAAACAGCATACGATGAATTTGTTACGTTCCATGTGGGAAGGTTATCTGCCATTAAACACGAAATTGACTCACTATTGTCAAATCTTGACAGGTTAGACAGTACAGACAATGATAATGTTCAGAAATTCCTTAAGAGACTTAAGCAGGCACACTGTCGATACACAGTATTATCTACAGGGTAAGATCGCATGACGGCGAAAGGCAGTTAGTATGTCAACGACTTATTGAGTCAAGCATCGATGACAAAGTCCTAAAATTTCTTAGTGAAATGTCCATGAAACAAAACCTACAGCAGCCCACACAGGCACAGGATAACACAATCCCATCCTCCCAAGCTCTTGACTCTGCGTCTCAGACACACGACACCACCAGAAATCCCACACAGGCAAGAGATGATATGTATTCTCAGGTTCTTGACTCTGCTTTGGAGGCACATACCACCTCAAGAAAATCCGGTTCTATTACCTCAAGTACAGTTACGACCCTTCTCCTTAAGACTAAGGCTAGGGCGGAGAGGTCAAAGGTCAAACTTAGGTTTGTTAAACAAGAGGCTGAGATTGCGAGGAAACAAGCTATCCTACAGGCTGATTTGTCAATCCTTCATACACAGAGAGAAGCTGATGAAGCTGAGGCTGAATTCAAGGCGGTTATGGATTTCACAGGTAACTCGATATGTTCACACTCGTCATTTCGGGCGTTATCTATAAAACAAGAGACAGCTCCAGAAAAACATGAGAGGATTTCAAAGTTTATAGCTGAACAACAATCAGACCAGGAGGAACCCGACGACCCTGATAATAAAAGGGATAATGGCCTTCATAAAACCATCTCTCCGTTACATTTGGAATTAAACCGGCTCAACCCTGTTCCCAGGTTGCCTCCCAGGTGGCAGCCTCATAATAATACGGACCTACCGCACCAACCTTCTCCTGGATTGGACCCTCATGCTCTTCCATACCATCCTAGGGATCCGGTGTTGTATCAGGTTAACAGTCCGGCAAAGACTTGTGTTACAGACAGAATGGCAGCTCCAACTGTTACCAGTACTCCTTTGTCAACTCATGAGGATCAGGCAGTGATAAGTCAGATTCCTCCCAGCACACCTCAGCAGCTTGACAGTCTTCACACCACTCTCCCCCCTGCCCCACATCCTGCCATGATCACCTCATCGCCTCAAACCTATTCCACTGCCTCTCCATACTTGGATATGTGCTCTGTATTTACTAAGTATCTGGCCAAGAAAGATCTACTCCTACTACGATTTACCAAGTTTGATGGTGTGCCGGAACACTTCAGAACATGGAAGGCCAGTTTCAGTGCAATTATCAGCGACTTAAGTCTATCACCGCTAGAGGAAATTGATCTTTTGGTGAAATGGTTAGGGCCGGAGTCCTCAAAGTTTGCACTCACGTTACGAGCCGCTAATGCCAGCAATCCCGGAAACGGAGTGAAACTCATTTGGGAGAGGTTACAGGACAAATATGGAAGTCCAGAGTCGGTTGAAGCGTCTGTTAAAAAGAAATTAAGTTCCTTCCAAAGGATAAGCAACAAGGATCATCACCGCTTGTTTGAGTTATCAGACATTGTGTCAGAGATAGCCTCGTTGAAGGAGGACCCAAGATATAGGGTACTACTTGCTTACTACGATTCATCATCAGGCGTGAACCCCATTGTCAGCAAACTCCCTACATACATCCAAGAAAAGTGGACAACAGAGGCTGTGAAGTACAAGGAGAAGCATCAAGTCACATACCCTCCCTTTTCACATTTCAATAGGTTCTTGCGGGAATTAGCAAGAGTAAGGAACGACCCCAGTTTTGAATACAACGTCCCTATCCCAGATGTCAACAAAGAGTCGAGAGATCAGACTGCACGAACAAAGATAACAACAAGAAAGACTGAAACTGGTGCCCCCAGTGTGACAGAGGACACTTGTCCACTTCATAACACTAATCACTCATTAAACAAGTGCCGTTCTTTCCGCTCCAAACCCATCAAAGAACGAAAGGAATTCCTCTTTTCAAATGGAATATGTTTCAGGTGCTGTGGTCCTCAGAAGCACTTAGCTAAGAGTTGCACCGCGTCCGTTCAGTGCGACACATGTGGTAGTAAGGACCATCCTTCAGCACTTCACGTTGATGTCAAAGAGTCAGCCTCCAAAGCTCATGGAGGGGAGGGTCAGACACAAGGAGACTCCAGTTTAAGGACTCAAGGTGCTGTTGTGGGCATTTGTACCCAAGTATGTGGCCAAAGGGAAAATACAAGTAAATCATGTGGTAAGGTTGTGTTAGCCCAGATTTACCATAAGGATTATCCAAGCAAGGTCATGCGGTTGTATACTATTCTTGATGACCAGAGCAACAGATCACTTGGACGATCGTCACTTTTCAACCACTTCGATGAAAATGGACCAGATCTGGAATACGCCATGTCATCCTGTTCTGGCAGCCATGTTACCACAGGCAGGTTGGCATCTGGTTACATCATTGAGTCGGTGGATGGCACATTCAAGACAGAACTTCCTGACATCATTGAATGTGACGCGATACCCAACATGAGACAGGAGATTCCTTCCCCGGAAGTGACAAGGCATTTTCCCCACCTTCAGGATTTGAAAGGTCTTATCCCACCTATAGATCCAGATTCAGACATTACACTATTGATAGGACGTGACCTTCAAATAGTTCACCATGTTCTAGATCAGCGTCTAGGTAGTGCTAACTCACCATTTGCACAAAAACTTCATCTCGGCTGGGTGGTGATAGGCGAGACTTGCCTGGGTAGTGCACACAGACCAAGCCACGTCAACGTCAACAAGGTCAATACACTTAGTAATGGAAGGCCATCTCTGCTACAGCCATGTCCCAACGATCTGGATATATCCTTTACTGGAGACGAAGTCTTCCGCAAGACACCAAACGATAATGAGCCAGGATTATCTATCCAGGACAAACAATTCATTGACATAATGAACTCAGGATTCAGGAAGGATGAGGAGGGCAGCTGGGTGGCCCCACTTCCCTTCAAGGTCAACAGGAAGCGGCTTCCAGATAATCGTCCTTTAGCTTTGAAGAGAGCCAATTCCCTCTTAGCTAGCATGAAAAGGGATGAAAATAAGAAACAGCACATGGTGGAATTCATGCAGAAAATTCTGGACAAGGGACAAGCGGAAATTGCTCCTGATCTCGCTAACAACCAGGAGAGATGGTATCTTCCATTGTTCGGAGTATATAACCCAAAGAAGCCAAACACTATCAGAGGTGTATTCGACTCTTCGGCGAAGTTTGGAGACGTGTCGCTGAACGACGTTTTGCTCACAGGGCCTGACTCAACGAACAGCCTTCTAGGTATTCTACTACGCTTTAGAAAAGGATCGATTGCCCTTACCGCCGACATAGAACACATGTTCTATTGTTTCCGCGTAGAAGGGATTATCTTAGATTCTTCTAGCACAGAGACAATAATCCTGAACTTGAGTTAATTGAATACAGGATGGCTGTGCATGTATTTGGCAACAGTCCCTCCCCTGCTGTTGCCACCTTTGGACTAAGGAAATCTGTTGAGCGCGCGGACTCTGATATCAAGGAATTTGTGTCGCAAAATTTCTACGTCGACGATGGACTTGTCTCAACTGATGACGTCAAGACAGGCATTGATCTCATGAAGCGCACTCAGTCGACCCTAGCACGCGAAGGCAATCTGAGATTACACAAGATAACTTCCAGTAGCAAGGAGGTGCTTGATGCCTTTCACCCAAATGACCTGGCCAAAGGACTAAAGGGCCTAGAGTTAGGGAAGGACGTCATTCCTCTTCAGAGAAGTCTAGGTCTTGTATGGAACGTGAACAATGACACCTTTACCTATCAAGTGTGTCCAGATGTGCAGCCCTTCACACGTCGGGGTGTGCTCTCCACCGTCAACAGTATTTTTGATCCACTGGGACTCATTGCACCGGTGGTGATTCGAGGAAAGCTCATTCTTCGGGATCTGATGGCGTGTAATTCATCTGGTGGGTGGGACGAGCCTTTGCCACCAGACCGCGAGGCGGAGTGGAAGACGTGGCGAGATTCTCTCGCTTCTCTAGAGGATGTAAGGATTCCACGAGTCTACTCCACCTTTGCTCATACCGATGTTTCTCGGAGGGAGCTCCACACCTTTGCCGACGCATCCCAGGATGCTATTGCTGCAGCATCCTATCTGAAGACCTTCCACATAAGTGGCATCACAGAGGTCAGCTTCGTCTATGGGAAGGCTAAGGTCGCGCCACGAAAGGGTCACACGATCCCTCGGTTAGAACTTTGTGCGGCAGTACTTGCTGTTGAAATAGCTCAAACTGTCATCGAGCAACTAGGCGTTAAGCTAGACAGCGTCCGTTTCTATTCAGACAGTCAAGTCGTTCTTGGTTATATTCACAACGAGGAAAGGAGGTTTTATGTGTATGTGTCGAACCGCGTCGAGAAGATAAGGGCTTTCTCTACGCCGAATCAGTGGACTCATGTCTCCACCCTTAGCAATCCTGCAGACGTGGCTGCGAGATCTGTACATGCAAAGGTCATTCAAGCTAGCCCATGGGTGAAGGGCCCTGGACTTCTTGAGGAGGAAATTGCAGAAGTGACCTAACCCCTCCTTCAAGTAGAGACCGATAAAGAGGTAAGGCCTGACGTCACCTCTCTCAAAACATCTTCCAGCGAAACTCCGCGTTTGGACGGAACGCGGTTTCAAAGATTTTCCTCATGGGGTCGTCTGGTTAGAGCTATTGCCCTATTGAAACACATCGCACGCACCCATTCTAGGAACGAAGACCACTGCAGTGGCTGGCATTGGTGCACTATACACAAGAACGTTGACATGTTCCAAGAGACGGAGCGAGTCATCATTAAACAAGCACAGCTTGATTCCTTTTATTTGGAGATAAAATGTCTACGTGATGGTAAAGGACTCAACTCCAGTAGCCCACTCCTACCACTCTCACCTTACCTTGATGAACATGGCATTCTTAGAATAGGAGGCCGACTTAACAGATCCAAGGATCTCGCGAGCGGCGAGGTTAACCCCGTGATCGTGCCCAAAGGACACCACATTGCTACCTTGCTTATCCATCACTACCACAGCTCCGTTCAACATCAGGGAAGAACATTCACGGAAGGAGCACTGAGAGCAGCTGGCTTCTGGATCATTGGAGGGAAAAGGTTGATCTCGTCCCTGTTGCGTATCTGTGTCAAATGCAAGAAACTAAGAGGAAAGGTCGAACATCAGAAAATGTCGGATCTTCCACCTGACCGTATGACCCCAAGTCCTCCCTTCACATATGTGGGAGTTGACGCATTTGGGCCGTGGTCGGTGACCACACGACGCACTAGAGGTGGAGCGGCCAACTCTAAAAGATGGGCAATAATGTTCTCTTGCCTTGTCGCCAGGGCAGTGCACGTCGAGGTGGTGGAAGAACTCTCTTCGGCCTCATTCATCAACTCGCTTAGGCGATTCATGGCACTTCGTGAACCAGTCAAGGTATTCCGGTCGGACTGTGGCACAAACTTCGTCGGGGCAACAGGTGAACTAGGTATGTGCACAGTAAACGTAGAGGATAATGACATCCAGAGCTTTCTTCTCGAACACAGGGTTGTGTGGAAGTTCAACCCTCCCCACGCCTCTAACATGGGAGGGGCCTGGGAGAGGATGATTGGCCTTGTCAGGAGGATCTTAGACTCGATGTTGCGCGAGGTTCAAGGGAAACCACTTACCCATGACGTTTTGTGCACACTTATGGCAGAAGTGTGTGCCATCATAAACAGCAGGCCTATCACGCCTGTCTCAAGTGACCCTGATTCACCAAGCATACTGTCTCCGAACACGCTTCTAACTCAGAAAGTGAAGCAGGATGTGGCGCCCTTTGAGGAACTCCAACTTCAGGATATGTATAAATCTCAGTGGAAGCAGGTGCAGGTGTTAGCCAATCAGTTCTGGAAAAGGTGGAGGGGCCAGTACCTTCAGAATCTTCAGTCACGGCCAAAATGGAAGCAAGAACGCAAAAACCTCCAGGAAGGAGATGTGGTTCTGTTGACGGAATCCTGTGTCTCTCGCAACCAGTGGCCTGTCGGTCTTGTCGAGAAGATATTTCCTAGTTCAGACAGCCTAGTGAGGAAAGCAGCAGTTCGTGTGATGCGAGACTCCGGACCAGCGACTTACTTCCGTCCAGTTACGCAATTAGTGCTTTTGTGTTCAGAATGACTCAAACTTGTTAACTTTGTGTCTTTAAAGAACTATCATCTATATTATAAGTTGGTGAGGTAAACTCAGGAGGGGAGTGTAAAGTAACATTCGGTTCGGGTTCAGTGTTGGTTCGTTTGAAGTCGGTTCGCTTACGCGCAACCAACCGCCAGAGCGCGGGTTGAGTAAACTTGTTTCATTTTATCGACATCCACCGAAGTCGGCACATGTTTTGCCTATCGAAATAGGATTTTGAAGGGGTTACAACCCAAAGAGTGAGTGAACATTCCTTCTATATTTTGTTTCTAGTTCAATTACGTGTTTTAGTGATGTTAACGCGTACATATCAGGTCAGTTTACCTTGTAACAAGTGTCATGAACTGTCGATCAAGTCAATCACAAACTCTGCCGAGATTTTAGTCAACGGTTAAACAATATGCATACAAATGTCCAGTTTCAAGGTTTTAATTAAGATTCATTGTTTGATTGTAGGTTTTCACCCTCTCCGGGGGTTTGTATACTCGTTATTAAAGACTGTGAAACAGTACAGTCACAGTAACGCAGGCATCAACCACAACACATTACCAGAGTGTCACTGTAAAGGAGGAATCAAACACAACACATTACCAGAGTGTCATAGTAACACATGTATCAACCACAACACATTACCAGAGTGTCACAGCAACACAGGTATCAAACAAAACACATTACTAGACTGACATAGTAATTCAATTGTAAAACACAACACATTACCAGACTGACATAGTAATTCAAACACAACACATTACTAGAGTGTCCCTCTAACGCATGTATCAAACATAATACATCGCAAGAGTGTCACAGTAACGCAGGTGACAAACACAACACATTACTAGAGTGTCACTGTAACACAGGTAACAAACAAACACAACACATTACCGGAGTATCACAGTAATGCAGGAATCAAACACAACACATCACATTACCAGAGTGGCACAGTAAGGTATGTTACAAATACAAGACAACACATTGCCAGAGTGTCACAGTAATGTGGGTAACAAACACAACACATTACCAGAGTGTCACAGTAACGGAGGTATCAACCACAACACATTACCAGAGTGTCACAGTAACGCAGGCATCAACCACAACACATTACCAGAGTGTCACAGTAACGGAGGTATCAACCACAACACATTACCAGAGTATCACTGTAACGCAGGCATCAACCACAACACATTACCAGAGTGTCACAGTAACACAGCAAACAAACACAACACATTACCAGAGTGTCACAGTAACGGAGGTATCAAACACAACACATTACCAGAGTGTCTCAGTAACACAGGTATCAAACAAAAAACATTACAAGGACGACACAGTAATTCAGTTGTAAATCACAACACATTTCCAGAGTATTACAGTAACGCAGGTATCGAACACAACACATTACGAGACAGTCACAGTAACGCAGGTATCAATCACAACACTTCACCATAGTGTCACAGTGACGCAGGTATAAAAAAAACACATTTCCAGAGTGTCACAGTAACGCAGGCTTCAACCACAACACATTACCAGAGTGTCACAGTAACACAGGTAACAAACACAACACATTACCAGAGTGTCATTGAACAGAGGTAACAAACAAACAGAACACATTACCAGAGTGTCACAGTAACGAAGGTATCAAACACAACACATTACCAGAGTGTCTCAGTAACGCAGGTATCATACAAAAAACATTACAAGACCGACTCAGTAATTCAGTTGTAAATCACAACACATTTCCAGAGTGTCACAGCAACGCAGGTATCAAACACAAAACATTAGGAGACAGTCACAGTAACGCAGGTATCAATCACAACACTTCACCAGAGTGTCACAGGGACGCAGGTATAAAAAAAACACATTTCCAGAGTGTCACTGTAACACAGGTATCAAACAAAACACATTACCAGACTGACATAGTAATTCAGTTGTAAAACACAACACATTTCCAGATTGTCACAGTAACGTAGGTATCAACCACAACACATTACCAGATTGTCACTGTAACGCAGGCATCAACCACAACACATTACCAGAGTGTCACAGTAACACAGGTAACAAACACAACACTTTACCAGAGTGTCACTGTAACACAGGTAACAAACAAACACAACACATTACCAGAGTGTCACAGTAACACAGGTAACAAACACAACACATTACCAGAGTGTCACAGTAACGCAGTTATCAAACACAAAGCATTACCAGAGTGTCTCAGTAACGCAGGTATCAAACAAAAAACATTACCAGACCGACACAGTAATTCAGTTGTAAATCACAACACATTTCCAGAGTGTCACAGTAACGCAGGTATCGAACACAACACATTACGAGACAGTCACAGTAACGCAGGTATCAATCACAACACTTCACCAGAGTGTAACGTTGACGCAGGTATAAAAAAAAAAAAACATTTCCATAGTGTCACAGTAACGTAGGTATCAAACACAACACATTACCAGAGTGTCACAGTGACACAGGTATAAAAAACACAACACATTAACAGTAACACAAGTAAGAAACACAACACAAGATTTCGCCAATTCTATGTGATTTGCTACCATTTATGTTCAGGATTACATTATTAGTTTCATCAAAAGTCAACAAGACAATACCAACTGATGACTGATAAAGGTTGAAATGTATTTCCCAACTGTTTTAAAATGGATTTGGATGATTTGTTGTTGACGTTTATCATATTTTGCACGGTTTTGTAAGCATTGGATTTTATAAACCTTGAGTACAATTTCATACCGCACCTAAACGCAATCGGGTATCCACCTATGTTTATTTGATTGACTCTGAGACCCTGCCTATTTGGTCCGCATGTGTATATGCTACCTATGTTTACTCACCGCTAAGATAGTGAGATACGTTGGTATTTCGAGATAAATTGACACTCACGAGAAAGGTCATATGAATCTGATTAACGACATATGGGTACCAGAAGGAAGTGAGCAAGGTGTACAATGTCCGCAAAATAGGTAAGTCATATTTATCATTAAATGATATATATGTATATGTATCCGTCATGACGTGTCTATGTATACTGTTAAACACGGTTTAGAGGTGAGAAGTCTCATGACCGTGTCAGTATAATCATAAAGTGTATCTGTTGTCATACTTCCTGTACACAATTGGTGTTTGATGAGATGACGTAAAATCAAATCATGAATTTATTTGTTTTATTTCATCGAGCTTTTGATTTCAGTCTAGATATACTTAAAACTTTCTTCAACATGATAAAGATGACGTCACTTTCTGTGTAGGGAGAGATAACAAACAATTGAATATGTAGAACGGTCACCACAGTTCTAAACATTTCATGTCTTATTTCTAATCGTAGACTGCAACAACAGAGAGAAAATACATTGTAAATCTTAATACGTTTAATATGTCACGTTTATTCACCCATGACATGGTTATAAAATCTGTTAACATTTGACCTGATCCGACCCTGGTCATCTGACAATGATAAAATACCTTGATATAAGTGACTTACATAGATTAGATTAGTCTAATTGTATTGCGAAATTTTGAAATGTAGAAAATAACAAGAAAATGACAAGATTCATTCGTAATACCATCAGAAATAACGTGTTTCAGCTAACATCGGGGATATGTCGCTTTTGCCTTCAACGATGACTATAGTACTATTTCGAATAAGTGATTTGGTGACCTGCTGACAAATTAAGCCTCTATGAATTGAAGTACAGTCTTGGACAATATACCTGACAGGTTGGAAAAAAGAAGATTTTCTTTCATTAAATTAATTGACTGTGACTGGGAGGTTAATAAGTGGGAAAATGTGACGAAACAGACCTTTTCACAAGCTCAAAGTAAAATTTGATTCCCATGTTTTTATATTAAAGTGTTAAATCATCATTTTGTATCTAACAACATCGACCAGTTGTGAAAACCAATAGCTGTGATCGTTCGGGGACAAATGACAGTTTGCATCCTGTGTGAAGGAAATGTCAAATTAAGTGCCACAAACCACAAACAGCTATACATGTGTTGCTAACTTTCTCGTTTCCTCATATTGTTGATTATCTTAGTTTGTGTTCTGATTTAAGCAGATATTTAGTCCGTGGGTTTATACAAAGTTTCCTGTTTGGGAGGACTATGATGTCGCCAGAAAATTTAAAGATGCTCAGCATTCACATTATCCGCAAACGGATGCAAACGGCCAATTTCTGTTGCACGCACATGAAGATTGCTTTATCAAGATGGGAAATGCATGAATTACTCACATTTAATTTTGCCTATTCAATGTTCACATAGTGTCTTGTTTTGAAAAACATCAATATTTTTTTTTTTTTTTTTTTTCAGTATTTCGATGCAATTTCAATCCCAACTCTGGACACGGGTTTCATCAAATGACAATTCCGAAAGACAGTATCAGTCATTGTGGTTTCTTCTTAAAGACATAATTATGCTTGTTATTCCAGTCTATCCTCTTGTGCTGGTTGGAATCATTGTTGTATGTTTGTTCTCATTTGCCATTTGGTTAATGTGTTATGAAAGCGTGGTTAATAGAAAACTGATAGCAAGTTCAAATTCAGCAATCGTTAGAGACAGAACACGACGGCAGCAAAGAACCGGACTGGTATCTAATGACAATATACGAGAAACGTCGCTCCATAACACTAGACATCTACGTGGTAATGTAGTGTCATCCGATACTCGAGTGCGCGACACTACAACACGTTCATACAGCAGTAGATCTGAGGACAGTAACATGCCGTCAACTGACCTTAGAGTTCGGGATGCTATAGGGGTACGTGTTCCGTCCGGACAATACATTTGTGGAACACAGGAAAATGTGCCGAATAATGTATCATTAGGACAAAGTAACTTGGCCTATACGTCGGAGGGTGAAAATAACGAACAACGACAGATTCACGGAGGAGTAACTGGTCTGCCAAGTTATAATGAGGCGACAAAATCGAGGAGAGGTCCGGATTTGAATGCGCCTCCGAAATACGAGG